TTCTCTCAAGAGAATGAAGGGCAGGCTAGAGGGCCTGGTGGCGCAACTCCTGGCCAGGTCTAGTTGGCCCTGACCTGCCGTTCACCCTGGCCCCCACCCCAGGCCCGGAAGGAGGGTTTCCTGGTTTGGGGCTGGTTCCCTTCCACACACAATGCATTTCACACTGGCCTGGCCCCGCCTGACCCAGAAACAGCTTCTGTGGGAGGAGGAGGCGGAGGGTCCCCTGGAAGGCGGCACTGCCCCACATCTCAGGTCTCATTTACCTGTGTCTGAGGTGGGCCTGCAGGGTGTGCTGGGGAATGGGCCGGGGCTGCTACACACAGACACCAACCAAATGCAGCTGGCCACCATTGCCTGCCTGTGTGGCCCAAATGCGGACCCGTATGAGATTGGGGTGGTTTCAGTGCAGCTTCCTGTCACCAGCTCAGGATGTAAATCTAGCCATATGACCTGGAGCCACAATGTAACAATGATGATGATGGTGATGATGCTGGTGATGGTGGTGATGGTGATGATGGTGAAGCTGGTGAAGGTGGTGATGATGATGGTGGTGATAATGATGGTGGTGATAATGATGGTGGTGATGGGGATGGTGGTGAAGGTGATGATGGTGAAGCTGGTGAAGGTGGTGATGATGATGGTGGTCATGCTGGTGATGGTGGTGATTGTGATGATGGTGAAGCTGGTGAAGATGGTGATGATGATGGTGATGGTGTGATGGTGAAGCTGGTGAAGGTGGTGATGGTGATGATGGTGAAGCTGGTGAAGGTGGTGATGATGATGGTGAGGGTGGTGATGGTGAAGCTGGTGAAGGTGGTGATGGTGATGATGATGAAGCTGGTGAAGGTGGTGATGATGATGGTGGTCATGCTGGTGATGCTGGTGATGGTGGTGAAGGTGGTGATAATGATGGTGGTGATGGGGATGGTGGTGATGATGATGGTGGTGATGGTGATGATGGTGAAGCTGGTGAAGGTGGTGATGGTGATGATGATGAAGCTGGTGAAGGTGGTGATGGTGATTATGATGGTGGTGATGGTGGTGAATGCTGGCATGCTGAGGACTTCCTGAGTGCCACACTCATTCTGAGCACTGCATGTGTTAGTCCGCTGAATGCACACAATCCCAGCCCTGTGGGGTGGCTCTAGTACCATTGCCCCACTTTAGTCAGGAGAAGGCAACTAAGTAATTTGTCCAAGGTCACAGAGTTAAGAGGCAGAGAAAGTACAAGCTCAGCTTGTGATCCTGATGTGGTATTGATGGTCAAGGTTATCTAGAGTACTTAGGAGGGTAGAGAGGAAGCAGGATCAGGCATATATTCTTGAGTAGACAAGGGTGCACTCAGGAACCCTGACTGGCACCTCCCTGCAGAAGAGCCGCTGCTGAGCTCCCGGGGGTTGCCCTGGGATCTACAAAAAAGGGCTCAGCCTGACAGCGTCTCAGGTGCCAGGTCCTCCTGTCCCCCACTCCCTTTGTCCTTCCTGGCCTCTGGCCCTTCCTCAACCTGGAGACCCCACAGGGAGCTCAGTCAACAATTTATCCCATGGGCAAGGGCCCAGGGGTCTGAGGAAGGTGGCTCAGCCCCCTTCAGCCAGCAGGGAAGTGGGCTGGGCGCGGACAGGTGAACCTCTGTTCTAGGGCCTCTCCTGCAGCTGCAGGCAGTGCCAGGCACAGCTCTTGGACACCCCATAGCGGTTGCTGGGGACAGCGCAGGTGCCACGAGGCCATCCCTAACCAAGGCTCTTGGTATCTGTAGCCACCCCTCCCCTACAGGTGGCAGGGGCCCTACTGATGAGAGGCCTACCTGGCTCCCTTCAGGGACCACTTACTCCATGGGGGGACTGGGGACTTCAGACAGCAGAGTTTCTTAAGAGAAGGGCTCATCCAGATGTCATGGGCCATAGGGTAGGGGGCACAGAATTTCCCCTTGAAGCCTTGGCCTTGGGACTCTGCCCTAGAGGAAAGGACTATGATGTACACCTCTTTGTGTCCTATAGTCTCACATTTTTTTTATTGTTTTTTTTTAAAGATTTTATTTTATTTTTTTATTTATTTGACAGAGATTGGGAGCACAAGCATGGGGAGCAGCAGGCGGAGGGAGAAGCAGGTTCCCCACTAAGCAGGGAGCCTGATGCGGGGCTCAATTCCAGGACCCTGGGATCGTGACCTGAGCCGAAGGCAGACGCTCAACCAACTGAGCTGCCCAGGTGCCCCATTTTGTTGTGTTAAAATACACATAACATGGGGCGCCTGGCTACCTCAGTTGGAGTGTGTGACTCTTGACCTCGGGGCTGTGGGTTTGAGTCCCATGTTGGGTGCAGAGATTACTTAAAAGTAAAATCTTTAAGGGGCTCCTGGGTGGCTCAGTTGTTAAACGTCTGCCTTCGACTTGGGTCATGATCCCAGGGTCCTGGGATCGAGCCTGGCATCGGGCTCCCTGCTCAGCGGGAAGCCTGCTTCTCCCTCTCCCACTCCCCCTGCTTGTGTTCCTTCTCTCGCTGTGTCTCTCTCTGTCAAATAAATAAAGTCTTTAAAAAAATAAAATAAAATCTTTAAAATAAACACACCTAATGAAAAACCTACTATGTTAACAATTTAAGTGTACAGCTCAACGGTATTAAATATATTAATAACGAACTACCATCACCACCATCTCCAGAACTCATTTTGCAAAACTGAAACTCTGTCCCCATTAAACACTAACTCCCTGTTCCCCTTCCCCAGACACTGGCACCCACCATCCTACTATCTGATTTTGATGACTCTTAAGTACCTTATAAAAGTGTAATTGAGCAGTATTTGTCTTTTTGTGATTGGCGTCATGTCACTCAGCATAATGTCCTCAAGATTCAACTATATGCATGTGTCAGAATTTTCTTCCTTTTTAAGGTTGAATAATACTCCCTTGTACATGCAGACCACATTTTGTTCATCTGTTCATCCACCAATGGGCTTATGGGTTGCTTCTGCCTTTTGGCTATTGTGAATAACGCTGCTACAAACGGATGTACAAATATCCCTTCGGAGATCTTGCTTTCAATTCCTCTGTGTATACACTCACAAATGGACCTGCTGATCACTTGGTAATTCTTTTTGAGAAACCACTGTAGTATCCACCACAATGGCTGCACATGTTCTATTTCTACTAACAATGTGCAAAGGTTCCGGTTTCTCCACATCCATGCCAACATTTTTGTTTTTATAGTTGCCCTCCTAACGGATGTGAAGTGGTATCTCACTGTAGTTTCAATTTGCATTTCCCTCATTATTGATGTTGAGCAATGTTAAATGTGCTTATTGGCCATTTGTGCATCTTCTTTGGATAAATGTCTACTGGAGTCCTTTGCCTACTTTTGAATTGGGTTGTTTGCTTTTCTGTTTAGTTTTCGTTCTCTATTCTGGATATCGATCCCGTATCAGATGTATAATTTCCAATATTTCCTCTCATTCTGTGGGTTGGCTTTTTACTCTGTAGATCATGTCTTTTGATCCCCAAATTTTAAAAATTTTCATGAGGTGCAATCTGTCTTTTGTCCATCCCGTTGGTCTCATATCAAAATCATCAAGTCCAATGTCATGAAGCTTGTGCCCTACGTTTTCTTCTAAGAGTTTTATAGTTTTAGGCCCTTGATCCACTTTAATTTTATATAAGGTGTAAGGTAAGGGCCCAGCTTCATTCTTTTGCATGTGGATGTCCCGTTTTCCCGTTTCACCATTTGTTGAAAAGATCTTTGCCCCAGCGTGGTCTTGGCAGCCTGGACTATCAGTTGACCATGTATGTGGTTTATTTCTGGGCTCTCTATTCTGCAGAATGCTCAAGGAAGACCCTCCACAGACCTCTCTGTCTCCTTTCTGGCACTCTAGCTGGTCGGTCCTCTGCCTTCCAGCTACGGAATCTTTTGATGACCAGCCCAAGCTGTGTTGACCCACATACAGACAGACAGACAGGCCAGCTGTGTGAATGTCCAAGCACAAACGGGTCACGTCTGTACATGTGTCAGGGGGCCTGAAAAGAGCACATACCTCTCAGGGCTTGCAGGCACACTGAGTGACCTTCCAGAAGGGACTGGCCTCAGTGGCCACACTCCTGATGCCCACCTGCTGGAGCTTAGTGGAAGCAGCAGCAGACACCCTGCTTGCAAGAAGGCTTCCAGGCACGTGGGGACTTGCAGCCTCAGCCCCAGCTAGGCCCAGAAGGTAAAGTCTCCCAGAGCCCTACTGAAGCTGGCGAACATGGTGCGTGCGGCCGCGCTGACTCGACTGTGTTGTGCGCCTGCTGTGCGGAGTTCCAAAGTGCGCAGAGAGCCCTTAACCGCGCGCCCGAACACAGACATGGGTCAGGGAGGTGGTGTTGGAGCCGAGATGGATGGATGGAGGGCGTGCCGGGCAAAGGGACGATGCTCCTCCCGAGGCTCAGCCTCAGGGAGCCCCTGCGGGGGAGGCAGGACGGACTGGTCTGAGAGACGAAATCCGAGGCGGAGGTGGGAGCTGAGGGGCTGCCAAGCTCACCCCCAGGCCTGTGGGGCACAGGCCCGTCCGGCTCAGCGCAGCCCGGGACCCACCCCCAGCCGTGGCAGCGCCCCCACCCTGCTCTGCTCGGCCCTCGGCTTCCGCAGGGCTGGCGCCTACACGCGAGGGTAACGTCCCCCCTTCGCAGCGGACCCCAGCCCAAGCCCGGCTTCCCTCCGCCGCCTGCCCGCGGCTTCCTCGGGCTCGGATCAACTACAAGCCCCGCTGAGTCCGGCTGCACCTGGTCCTCGGCCACTTGCACGGGACAAGTCCCAAGGGGGCTTTGCACAGCCCGCGTCGCCGCTCTTCCGAGGCCGAGGCCCGGGCCCTGCCACCCGCCCGACCCGTCCGCCCTCGCGAGCCGGCGCCCCGCGGCAACCCGCCCCCAACCGCGCAACACGCGGAGGCCCCGCCCCCGTCCGCCGGAAGCGGAAGTGCGCCCGAACCGGCCAGTCGCGCGGCGCGTCGGGACCCGGAAGCACTTCCCGAGGCCCCGCCCCGCTCGCCAATACCGCTGCCGGGGGCCACAGCGCTTCCTTTCTGCGCTCGAGCTCGTGGAGGCGGCAGCAGGTGGGCCGTGCGGCCGGGCGGGGGCGCCGGGCGGGGGTCGGAGACCGGGGCCGCGGCGGGCGGGGGAGGGGACACGGCCCGGCCTCACGGCGCCGCGGGGTCTCGCAGGCGCGCCCTCGACATGCAGAACGACGCCGGCGAGTTCGTGGACCTGTACGTGCCGCGGAAATGGTGAGCGGCCTCCGCGCCTCCCCCCGCCGCCTCTCTGCCCCC